GGTGTATCTTATTGAAAGTGAAATGTCTATTGTATCTGAGTTTAAGTTATATGTCCCATCTTCTATGAGGGACAAAATTGTCTTTCTTGTAACTCAAGTTTTTCATGAATAAAAGTCAAGTGGGTCGGCTAGGAGAGTGACTTTTGAACATCCTCTCTTCTAGTCTGGCCAAACACTCTTCTCCTCTCCTTATTCTTCTTTCTCTTTTCTTTCTTCTTCTCTACTTTGACCTAGAAACAATTAGGGTTTATTCACACTTTTTATCCGTCCACCCATCAGACATAAGAGAGCAGCCCCATTTTTCCCAAGACTCCTTATGGTGTTGAAGCAATGTTTTTGTATAATCAACCTCCTTCAAGAAAGGAACTCGCAACTCATAGTAACTTGGGATTTTTAATCCCAAACCAAATTGCCCTATTGCCTCTACCACTGCTTCAAAACTTTTCAAGTGTATGGTATTCAAGGGAATACCAGCTTGATAAAACCATCTAGCAGTGCGTATGCATACTTGCTCTATCCCTTTTTTATTATATGCATCACTAATAGTGGTTTGCTTCATCTTTTTCTGTTCTCTTCTCAACTTCACAATTTCTTCTGGGCTTGGAGTAGGAAAAAATTTATCCAAAGGCCCCTTTTGCCTTCTTATAGGGGGCTGTTTAGAACTTCTTTTTGAATCTGAAGTAGAAAGAATGTGATCACCGCTACCAAGCACTTCCACCTTGTCCCCCATCTCATCTTCATCTTCAATTATATTTTCAAAATTATCAAAATCAGGAATTCTGCCCTCTTTCATTGATTTTTTTCTCTGCATGTATGCTAATATCTCTTCTTTCACCTCTTTCGGGCATTTAGGACAGACTTTAACATTTCTTCTTCCACCAATTAAATGCTCTTTTGCTCTATAGATCCCTCCATTTGTCACTTTGCCACAAAATTTGCAAGTGACAGAATTTGTATTCTTTGGATCTTGCAAATAACAATATTTCCAGCCCAGGTCTTTCCTATTGCTTTCTTGAGTATTGTCGGACTTGTCTCCCATCTCTTTACTCTACTTGGTTTGCAAAATTTCCAATCGGCAAATAACAAATTGCAATTTGCAACTATCAATACTCATATTTGTGAACCTATCAGACTTTGAAAATAAATAAACTATTCTACTTGATAATAAAACAAATAAATAAACTACTCTATTTGATAATGAGAAAAACTGAACTGTTTTAATGAGAAAAAAACTGAAAAAAAAATGAGGCGGATCCCCTGTTTTTATGATAACAACTGAAAAACAATGGGGCAGAGTCCCTGTTTTAATAAGAAAAACTGAAAAAATGGGGCGGAGCCCCTGTTTTTATGATAAAAACTGAAAAAACAAATGGGGCGTAGCCCCTGTTTTTGTGCAAGAAGAAGAAAGGGGGCGGAGCCCCTGTTTTACTGTTCTCAATCTTTTCTTTCTTTTATTTTATGTATATCTTTATACTTTATATCAAAGTAAATAAAAGTTTTGATTACTCATAACAAAATACTGAATGTTGTGGCTGCTAGAACCTGGGGTATGACAAAATTAGCTAATGATGCTCTGGACCTTCAATACGAGCAGATATTGAAAATATGGTTTTACTTTTCATGGTCTCAGTTACTTATTTGGCATTTCAGTATTGGTGTCTGATTTGGTAATAGAGTATTTATACCAGGTAACATGTTTGCCATAGAAGCCACATAAATACTGGGGTGTATGTGTCATCTAATTCAGTTATGGAATATGCTATTTGTTGAAAAGGAGAAAACAGTTATGTATATTATCATTGACAGTACCACTCCATTGTTTTTCTTTTTCTTTCTTTTTTTTTTTTCGTGTAGCATTCAAGGCTGCATTTCATAGGAACATGGAGGAACAGGTATCGTAAGCGTTTTCCTAGCTTGCCTGATGGAGATAAATTTGGAAATCCTCATAATAATGCTCTGACTGTTCCACGGAAAATTATCCATATAGATATGGTAAACTTTTCCATTTCTATGCAGTGCTTTTGATACAAGTGTATAATCTTTCTTTGTTTTGTTTCTAATGGAATTTTACCCTTTGTAGTTTCTAATTTCTTTGTATTGCTTGGGTCTTTGTCTATTTAGAAATTTTGTTTTGTCTATATGCATGGTTGGGCTGTCTAAATCTGTATTAAATTTTCTGTGATAACTTGTGTTATTCCAGGATTGTTTTTTTGTTGCAGTTGTCATCAAGAACCTTCCTGAGTTGCGAGATAAACCTGTTGCAGTATGCCATTCCAACAATCCCAGGGGCACAGCTGAAATTTCATCTGCAAACTACCCTGCTCGGGATTATGGTTGGTTTTACCTGAATTTACCTACACCTTTTAGCTTCTTGGTCTGTGCTAGAGTACTGTGAGTCTCTGTATAAATGAAAATGTGTTTGTATGTGGTAGGAGTAAGGGCTGGAATATTTGTCAGAGATGCAAAAGCACTTTGTCCTCACCTTGTTATTGTCCCTTACGATTTTGAAGCATATGAAGAGGTTATATTACTTGCTTGCAGAAGCATCTTTCTTTGTTTCTTTCATACTTTCACATTTGTTGTTGACTTTCTTAGAACTATGTTTTTTTGTGTGTGTTATTGCAGGTTGCTGATCAATTTTATAGCATCTTGCACAAACACTGCAACAAAGTGCAGGTCCATATGATGCAGCATGTTCTTGCAATTAATATTTCTTTTTTCACTTAAGTTATTTTTTATGAAACTGTAACTGCTAGTGGATACAGGCTGTAAGCTGTGATGAAGCATTTTTAGACGTGACAGACCTTGAAGATGAACATCCTGAACAGTTGGCTTCAATTATCAGAAAAGAGATAGATGAGACGACAGGATGCACTGCAAGTGCAGGCATTGCTCAAAATTTGCTCATTGCTCGCCTTGCCACAAGAACTGCTAAGCCAAATGGCCAATGTTACATCCCTCCTGAGAAGGTATATTCTTACATGAAGCCATTTTAATGTAGGACTGCTTGCTTCAGTACCAACTAATGTAGGACAGTTTGTTTTGATACCAGATGTAGGACCTGAATACCAAAAGATGAGTTTAGAGGAGGTTTAGGACAAAAAGTAATGATTGGTTAAGGTAGAAAAGGTCTATGGACTTGATCATAAAAATCACAGATTCATCTCAAGACAGTGAAAAACTTGGAAATAGGAAGATTGGTCTAAGGATGGGATATATATATATTTTCAGTGAAGCTTCATAGGCAGGGTTAGAATGGATAATTTGACTAGGTTTGGTTAGATTCGTATGTCTTACTCAAAAGGATGGAAATTCTAGGATTGGTAGAATAATCAAACAATAGGGAATATAGGATTCTAGGTAGAATTTTGGGATAACATTTGGAGGGATGAAAGGACGTAAGGATATGTGGAGGGTGTCCATATATAGGAGGGATTGGAGATGGTTTGTTACAAAAAGGTGAATGAGCAGAATGGAAACCTTTGGGTTTTGATGAAATTGAGGGGAATTCATCTGGATCAATTCCAATACTTTGAGAATGTTGAACGAACATCTTTTTATGAAGAATTTCTGGCTATTGATAGCTGCAATAGCTTATTGAAAGTTTAAAGAGAAAATAGAGATAAAGGGAAGAAAAACTTGGCATCACTAAATGGGGTGCCTAGAATCACTCTAGGGCATGAGGATCACTCACCACACACAACTTAAGTTTTTTTATCACTTTTTTCCAACGCCGAATATTCTCTCAGTGGAGGGGAACATATAACTTTAGTTATAAAAACTCAAAATAAACTTCATTGTATCTGTACGTTTGCACTTTATAGCTTATACATCTATACCAATGTTCTGAAAATCGTAATCGCAAAGAAAGTTGAATTGAATTGAATTGTGAATTGTATCATAATTGTAAGATTATTTCTATTTTTTAAAAACTTGTCAAAAATTAAATATAGATATGCTTAAAGGAAAAATATAGTAGAAGATCAAGACTGTAATCAGTCTTGAATCCTAATAGGTTTTAGGTTTACAAAATAGAAGAAAAGTGAGAGAAAGAAGAGAGAATAGAAGAGAAACTGGAGAACACAAGTGGTTGAAAGGAGGAACAGGTTCTAACAGATCTGCCGCCGCCACTTTCTTATTATTTATAGGTTATGTTTAGTACACAATGG